GTGAAATATTCATTGATCCATAAAATATTCACAAAAATTCCATTTTGAATTCCATAACAATTTTAGTACATTTTTATTAACAGCATTACCATAGATATGAAAAAATAGTACATAACATAGGCAAAATATTTATTCTACAGACAATGATTATTATATGTGTGAATTTGAGATCTCCTTGCAATATCTCCTTGGTCCAAAGATGAGAGCAACCAGAATAGGTGCTTTTCATGGATTTAACTAGAAATTCTATTACTTCATCATAAAATGATGATGGCATATTCTATTGCTTCATCATAAAATGATGATGGCATAAAATACTGTGGATCAAAACAAATTAGAAAACTAGAAAACAAAATGTCACATTCCAATTACCTTTTCACAGAATATTCTAACAAAATGCAAGCAAATATAATTAATATTTTTTTCAATTGAACAGTTATTATAGATAGGACACCATGTTTAGTGACATGAGGAATAGAAACCTAAGGAACACACATTCACCCTGCCTTCAAGGCATTTAAAATCTAGTAAAGGAGGCAGTAAGTTTGAATAAATTACTAGCACAGGAGGCAACAGGGTGAGAGGAATAGGGGAAGATAAAAGGTAAGAAGTGCTGAAGGAAGGAAGGAAGGACACCAGCAACATACTTTGTGATCAGAAACTGAACTGGGAAGTTTCTCATATTTTAAAAAAACAAATGCTCTGGGAAATTGGGTTTAGAGAGATTATGCTGACAAAAGTAGTTTATGAGTCCAGCTTTGAAAGACTTAGGTTTTCACACGGAGAGACCAGAGAGCTTTCTAGGCAACAGGAGTGCATGGACAAAGGCAAAATCCTTTGTTGATTAATAAAACTCAGACTACCAGTTCACAGGGTTGGGGAATGATGGGATGAGGCCAAAGCTGAGCCCAGTCTGCTGGATCGTGACTTCAGGCTAAGGAATCTATGTGCAAGTAAGTAGAGAAAATAACTTGAGGATTGAGTCTGAGATCCACCATATGTTAGTTGCAAAGCAGTTGTGAACTTAACTTTTCCTAGCCTCATCTGGAGACTGGAGGTATAATAACAATGCCTGCTTTGATGCTGCCCTGAGGAATAAATGCAATAATGCACGTACAGGAACGTATGACAGCACCCAGCACATAAAAGTTCAGCAGCTGTTACTACTGTTGTTAATGTTATTCACTACATAAGCCACCCAATAATTTTTAACAACATAATTACAGTACTTAAAGAATTTACCTGACCATGAAAACAGAGACAGGATGAAACCCCGTCTCTACTAAAAAAATACAAAAAATTAGCCGGGCGAGGTGGCGGGCGCCTGTAGTCCCAGCTACTCGGGAGGCTGAGGCAGTAGAATGGCGTAAACTCGGGAGGCGGAGCTTGCAGCGAGCTGAGATCCGGCCACTGCACTGCAGCCTGGGCGACAGAGCGAGACTCCGTCTCAAAAAAAAAAAAAAAAAGAAAACAGAGACAGGAAAACAGAGGTAGGAAAACCCACCTGTAGACAATGTTAGGACAGAATGCACAAGTCCCTAAGATCCTGAACTAAGATGCTGCAAGGCCTCCAGGAAAGGACCAATGTGAGAGACACTGAGACAACAGTTAGGGTGAGCCTGAAGGTGATCTGAACCGTAGTAACTGGAAAAACAAAAAACAAAAAACAAAAAAATTTCCAGAAGGGGCCAGAAAGCTGATAAATATGTAAATTTAGACAGGAAAGGAATGTGCAGAGAACCATAAACAACTCTCAATTATGCATGGAAGGCTTTTTCCACCTAACAGTTTCCATCTTCCCTAGTATCCTACACCTCAATCTCTTCCTCAGGCATTCTAGGTTGCAGGGTTCTCCAACCCTTCCTGGAGTACTCTTGAAATAGAATTAACAAATAGGAAAATACAGTACTGCTGAGAAGTACATTATAAATAAAACTGCATTATCTAGACCCTTATGCGGGGGAAATGTTACACCAGCACCCAAACTGGAATAAAGTAGAAGAAAGAAGGAATCACTAATTCCTTCCCCATCCCATTTTGCCATGAGCCCTTTAGGTGGTACCCATGCCACTCCTCCCCAACTTTTCACCCTCAGTGTCAGTGCAAGAGTGGAGAGTTGAAATGTAGTTGTTTCACTGAAAGCCTACTGCAGAAGCTTTTGGAATTAGTAGCAGTTTCTAACTCTCCAATCTGCATTAGACAACAGAGGAACTAGCTGGTTTCCCAGCACTTTCTTTAAGAGGTATAAAGCATTACTTCAGAGTTCACTTACCACAGTGAGTAAAACCAATCAGATATCTCTTTAGATTTAGATGAAAGGAGGATTTCCTTTCCTTCTGGATTAAAAGTCCCCGATCTACCAAGCCCACAAACCATAAACGCAACCACAAAAATCAATGGCAGTAAGAGTCTCAAGGATTCTGAAAACAGTACAACCAGACACTTGATATTGGCACCAGAAAGTTTACAGCCCAATCTCAGATGGTTTTAATATTTGTATCATTGGACTCTATCATGAGTTAACATCTAATTAAATAATGGGGCAAGAATTGAAGTCAGACTATTAAAAAATCTAGCTCAGCAATTTATTGGTGACCTTAGGTAAGTTCCTAAACCTCGGTTTCCAATTCTTCACCTGAAAAATGGAGATAACCTCACAATACTGCCCAGCAAGATGGTGAAAATTACAGCTTACCGGCAGGGCACGGTAGCTCACACCTGTAATCCCAGCACTTTGGGAGGCCAAGGCGGGCGGATCACGAGGTCAGGAGATGGAGACCATTCTGCCTAACACAGTGAAACCCTGTCTCTATTAAAAATACAAAAAACTAGCTGGGCGTGGTGGCGGGCGCCTGTAGTCCCAGCTACTCACGAGGCTAAGGCAAGAGAACGGCGTGAACCCGGGAGGCGGAGCTTGCAGTGAGTCGAGATCATGCCACTGTACTCCAGCCAGGGCGACAGAGCAAGACTCTGTCTTAAAAAAAAGAAAGAGAGAAAGAAAGAAAACTACAGCTTATGGCAGCAGCCTGGGAATATGTGGCTTATGATGTAACTATTAGCGATTGCTGAAAATATATCTCAATAAGAAAACAGTAAATCTTTTGGCTAAGCCATAGCTTTTGATACAAATAAAGCTAAATGTCTATTAGCTGTAATGGTGGAAACCACATTTTAGTTTATTGGAAGAGGTCCAGCACAATAGAGACAAAATGAGCTGGAATCCTAGTTCTGCCAGGATAACCTTGGCAACACTGGTTAACCTGCTGGACCCTCAATTTCCCATCTGGTTAAATATACCTAGCTAACAGACTTCTGTAAATTTAATGAGGTAATCTACAAAAGTTCCTAGTATTGCTATTTGTTAATTTTCCCAATAGTAAATTAAGGATAAAGATGAAAATCAAAATCAGCTATGAAATCCTCATTCCTCATATTTACAGAGAAGGTTTCATTCTACAAATGTTTATTGCAAACCTACTGTGTGTTCTTGACACAGGGGATCAAGTGATGAACAAGACAGACAAGATCTCTGCGTTCCTGGTACTTACATCCTAATGAGGGAAGACAGATAACACAATAATCCAAGGAGACAATTTCAGGGAGAAATTTAAGTTCTATGAGCAACAGCAAACAGGTGACGTGGCTTGGCTAGACGGGAGGGTCATTTAGCTTGGATGCATACAAGCCCAGGCCTGCCTGACTGATCTCCTTTAGCCAGGAGGACCTCACCTTGTATGATACTTGCGGGGTACAGTGTAGATGATGAGAAACCAGGCCTTCGCTTTCACCTATCTGTGGAAGTATCTCTTTTGCAGCTGTAGTTTAAAACATTTCTAAATGCCCTCATCCCAATACTCAAACTCTGAGGGTCAGAGCAACCCCGAAGGGTCTCAAGCACCTCTGCGCAGTACGCAGACACATGGAAACCGACAACTTCACAGTCCCTTCAGCTCCAAGAGTCCCGTCTGAGGAGACTGGTGGCTTGTGAGATGGAGAAGGACAAGCACAAGTGTGCAGGAGGCAGCAAGCAAGTTGCGTTGCCGAAGGAGGGGCGGCGCGCCCGGGCTTAAGAAGTATCTGGACGACCTACGACAGTGCTCATCAGCGACTCCAGAGGCTAGGAACGCTCCCCGGGAAGCTGGGCAGTGCTAAGGGGCTGCCTGGGAGTATCTGGCTTATGATGACAGTACTTAAAGAATTTACCTGACCATGGAATAAACAGAGACAGAGATAGGAAAACCCAACTGCAGACAATGTTCAGAAAGAGTACATTAAGTCCCAAAGACCCTGAACTAAGATTCTGCTGCAGGGCCTCCGGGAAAGGACCAATGTGAAAGACACTGAGATAAGAGTTAGGGTGAGCCTAAAGGTGATCTGACCAGTAGTAATTGGAAAGTCAAAAGAAAAAAATTTCCAGAAGGGGCCAGAAAGCTGATGAATACGTAAATTTAGAAAGGAAAGGAACGTGCCCTGGGCCTCCAGCCCGGCACGGGGGATCTGGGCAAGCCGCGGTTGGGAAGGCGGGCGAGCGGAGCGCCTGCCCCGAGAGCGTTGTCTCAGTCTCACCGGCGCGCCCCATCCCGCGGATGTGGTAAAGCGTCGCGCTCCGCCCAATTAACCAGGCTTCCTGAGCCTCCAGCCCCGGCGCAGAGCCTCCCTGCTGCCCAGGACAGCTCCGCGCGCCGCGTCCTCCCGCACCTGCGCTCCAGCCCCTGCGCTCGGTTCCTCCTGGCGGTCAATCCTCTGAGTCGTCCCTCGAGGGACGGAGCCCTAGGGTGGGTGAGACCCGGGTCCTCCCTCCCCGGGAGCTTCAGCCGGCACCGAGGGCGAGCTCCCAGGCTTCGGTCTGCCCCAGGGCCGGATCCTCCCCGGCCGACACGGGCAGACCCCGGTTCTGCAGAGACCCGCGACGCCCCCCAAACCGCAGCCCTTCGGAGCCCGCGCCGCCGCCTGGCCCCCCGACACCTCGGCCCCATTTAGGCAGGCGCCCCGCCACTCACCTGAGCGCTGTGCAGCCGGAGACACTCCCTAGTTCCCCGGTGCAGGGCTCGGGGGTTAGCGCACAGACCCGGGAGAAGGCAACCCGGCTTCTCCGGTCTCCCCGCAACGTGCAGCTGACAGCTCTCGCACCGGCCGCAGGAGTCGGGGGCGGGGATGGCCACTCGCTGACAGACGGGGCCGGAGCCGCGCTGCGCACCGGCCGCGTCGCGCTCTAGTCCCTTCTCCCGGGCCGGCTGGCGGGCGCCACCAGCACGCGGCCAGTTCTGAGTACTTTGCCCAGAACTTCTCTGCGCGCGCCGCCCGGCGATTAGCCAGAGGAGCGGCGCAGGGGCGGGAGCGCAGGGGAGGGGCCTGCGAGGCCCGGGGGCGGGGCCCCGAGGGGGCGGGAGGGCAGCAGAGTGACGCACGTTTCCACCAATCATAAGTCGCCTTTGGGGAAGGAGGTGGGGCGATGCCCTCGGAAGAAGCCCGCGGATTCCATGACGCAGCCAGGGGACTAGGGATCCCGGATTTCGGACGGGTTGGGAGGGCGGCGGTAGGCGAGTGCTGCGGCGTGGCACGGAGTGGGGCTCCCGGCGGTCCAGCTCGGTGCCTGCTAGCTGTAGGCGTTCGGTAAATGTTCCTCGAGTGGCTCTTCCTGGCCAGGGAAGGAGGAAGAAGTGAAGGCAGAGTGGGAGGGGCAGGTTTACGAAGAAGGCTCCAGGGGACCCTTGCGTTCGCACAGGCTAGGAGAACTCTACCTCCCGAGGAAGTCAGACTGAGGCAGAGGAGTCGAAAACGGAGGAAATACGTGGGGAGGCAGCACTCTAGGCACGAGATGACAAAGGACAGTATCATTGTGAGACCCGGGGCTCGGAGACCGTGACCCTACCTCCAGAGGCAGCCGTGCAGATACGTGCCGGAGTGATTTTGTTCTCTGCAGTTTATGTGCAAGGGGGTAGGGGGTCGGGAGAGCACCGTCGTTACTATTAAATCTCCCTGAAAGACGGGAAAGTCCACCCGACTTGACTTCCCAGTAGCCCAATGGCCGCCTTTGATCCTAGCATGAATGCAAGCAGCTGATGATTTGGGGTCAGTTTGCAGACTGCAAATGTGTCGAGTGCCGCAGGTGGCGGGTGGGAAGGGCATGAGCATTTACTGAGCACCTATTATGTGCCAGGAGCAGTTGCGAGCTTGCAACTGTGAGAAAGGCGTACCAGGCTCCTGTACTCACGGGTCTTGCATTTTTGTGGAAAGGCAGACAATAAAGAAGAGAATATACATATCCATGCACAAAATAAAAGGCTGACGGACTGCTGGTACTGAGAGGAGAGCCAAGCCCAGCTTTCGAAAGTGGTATAGTGCGTGATGGCGCGCTCACCCTGAGGGGCCTCTAGGCGCGGGTGGCTTTTACCCAGATTCCTGAGCATGGGAAAGGAGCTGCCACACCCAGTCTCGCAAAGAGCGTTCCAGGCGAAGGGAATAGCAAAGACAAGGTATTTAGCCTCCCTGAAGACCCAACTGACCGACCTCACCCAGCTGGGCACCGCGCGTGGCTCGCTGGGCTCGGCGCCTGGCACAAAGGGCTCCACAGTGTTAAATCCCCCTACCAACCACCACCTGAGGCGCTCGTCGCATCTCCAGTCTCCAAACTGACCCCAATTCAAGGTTTCTGAGACTCTTTCCGGAGCTATTCTGTTCACATTTCATTCACCACGTTCAGATCTCCGCTTTCTGGAACCATCCCCCTCGCGAAATGTCTGGGACTGTCTATTTCGGATCTGGCAGGCGGCAGGCGAGGGCGGGAGGCGCCAGAGATGCTGCCGAGCAAACCGACTGTCATGCCGCCTGCGTCGGCACACGGAAAAGCTTATTGGAGAAGATTTCAAATCGAATGACTCCGCGGTTCCTAAACAACCTCGCAAAGCCCGACCAGCGCCAGGTGGCTCGATGGGTAGTGGAAGGACGTGTCTGGCAGGCGCGCGGACAGTCCAAGGAGGCACCTTGCCCACGCCCAGCCCCGCTGCCGGAGCAGCTTAGACTGGGTTTTCCCAAACCTCCTTCCATTTTTCTATAATTCCTCTCTGAGAGAGGCTTGCTCTGCCCTCCTCCTGCCAGTCCCCTTCCTCGTTCAAGCTATTTCTTTTTCTTTTGCTCTCCACCTTCAGCCTCTCCGCCTGTTTCTTTAGCATTGGTTTTTCTGTAGGAGACCAACCTTCAATCTGAAAGGAAGTTATTTGCATAGGGCTTTGTTGTTTACACTAGCATCCCGTTCTGGGCTTTTTCATTAATGTCTTCCAAATCAAATCATAATAGAGTGTACAGTCTCTCTCTTTGTGTGTGTGTGTGTGTGTGTGTGTGTGTGTGTGTGTGTATACTTGAGGCGTTAATTGGACAGGATGAGAGAATTATTCACATTGTGCCTTGTCCCCAAGTAAAGGAGGAATTGTACTGTGGCTTTTCATAGTTTCATTTCCTCTTCTACTCCTAAATAAGCTTCCAGGCTCTCCAGCTCCTAAAATCTAAAGGAAAAAAAAAAAAGTTGAAACCCACGCGGAGCTAATTATTCTTGAAAAAGCTTGTTAATGTTCTAAAATTAGCTTTCTTCTCAGAGTCTTATTTTAAAATAACGATTTGAATGTCTAATAAAGATCAGTGGTTCCATATTAAGAGTTCCTAGAGACCCTCTTCTTTGAACTGTTGAACAAATACTTTTTCTCTTTGGAGACACGCCCACCACAGTGGGAATTTTTCACATTTGGCACAGTGGTCTTAGCTTCTGAAATCGGTAATAGGTAAGCGGGTGCTACCTGAGTTTGCATGTTTTGATAGTAAAGGAAACTGAGGACCTCTAGAATCAGACTACCTCAGTTCCTGTCTTATGATGACCACCTCATTCTGTGATCACCTTTCCTTGTCTGTAAAATGGAGATAATTAAGTACCTGCTGGACTACAGGAAGAGTTTGATCATCCATTTGCAAACAGTTCCTGCATACAGAGTTCTCAACCTCAACACTATTAACATTGTAGGTAAAGATAATTCTTTCCTGCTGGAGGTGAGGGGTGGGGAGGGGTGCTCTCTTGTGCATTTAGCAGCATATCTGGCCTCCACCTACTAGATTCAAGAAACACCCTGTCCTCCCCAGTTGTAACAACAAAAAATCTCCAGACTTTTGCCAGAAGTCCTCTGAAGGGCAAAATCCCCCCCCCCCCTCCATGAGAACCACTGGCATAACACATAGTAAGTGCCTACAGGAGGCGATGTAGGGAAATGCTTATGGATATGGGTTTCTAAGGTGTCAACCTCAGGCAAATTTTGTTTCCTTAAGCCTCATCTGTAAAATGGGAATGATAATAATGCTAACTTCTTAAAGTTGTCTACATCTGTAAAATGGGAATGATAATAATGCTAACTTCTTAAAGTTGTCTAAGGATTAAATACAATTGTGAATGTAAAAGCAATTTGCACAGTGCCTGGCACATGGTAAACTCAACATATGAGCTTCTGGTCTCATTTGTTTCCTGTGAAGAGAAGGCATTGGGCTAAATTGGGGATGACACATCTTGACTTATTTGCTGCCACTTTCCTCCTGCCTTGTATCAGGCAAGGCTGCCTTTTCCGCTGAGTCCAAATAGAGCCTCAGAATCCTTCTCAACACTGCAAGAAGCTGCCACTGATAGGCCAAGATCAGTATCTAAGATAATGCTGAATTGCTATTCTGGGGCTAGATGAACTTTAAGATCCCTAATAGCTTCAGTTTTCTGAGACGATTACAAGTGAGGAGGAACTATTGTTTATCACTTCATCAACTTCTTTTATGAAGGGGTGGTGGAGCAAGGCCCAGAAAGTTCCCAGTGTCTTGACCATAATCATACAGCCTATGAATGGTCAGAGGCTAAGTCTCCAACCCTCTTAAACGGCCATCTTTTTGCCACATCTACCGCCTATGGAAAGTGGGAAAAACACTTGTCTAAATCTGAGTTGCCATCTTCTCCAACCTGTACAGCCCTACTCATCTTCTTCCTCCTTCACTTTCATCTGAAAAATGAATCAAAGTATTTAGTTGCATATGAACACCTTGTAAGCATTCTTTTACAACTGTTAGTATAATTCTTGACAAGGATTGTTCAAAAATTCACCAATTCCTTTATTAGATTGCCTGCTTTGTATAAGGGATCATTCTTAGCAAGCACTTCAAAGTGAATAAAAATGAATCAGTGAGTGTCCCTTCAGTGCTTTTATAGTTTTCTATATTGGGCAGATCAGATGTGGACATAAATAACTACAACACAAGCTAAAAAATGGAAAATGTCCTGAGAGGTACCAAAAATGTGTTCAGAGAAGAGAGAAATTATTTTGGGAATTAGGAGCTAGAGCCATTTCCTGCATGTCTTTGTTAACATTTTTAACTTTTGGAAAAAAAAATTCTTATTTATTACAGTAAAGTTATCCTTGTAGAGGAAGTTGCAACATTGTTAGTTTTCCTGGTTCAGATACATTTCCTGCTTAGTTTAAGTCAACATGATCAGTGCAACTAAAAGTCACAGATTATTCTAATTCTAAATTGGTTTTCATCAGCTGTTTACAATTTCTGGGATTTCTGGGCTATTCTAGAGGAGGCTTGCTCACCTTTAGTTTCCTTTCTTTTTTTTTTTTTTTTTGAGACAAGTTCTCACTGTTGCCCAGGCTGGAGTGTGGTGGTGGTGTTCCCAGGCCCAACTAAGTGTTGGGCTGCTGTTTCTCGTGGCCCAATAGTGAGATGCAGATGAACTCAGGATGAAGAGAGTTTTTATTTTTGCAACTGGTTACAGGGAGAAGGCTTGGAAATCATCGCCAGACCAACTCCAGATTACAAAGTTTTCCAGAGCTTATCTACTTTCTAAGTTATATGTCTACATGTAAGTGTACATTCATCTAAGACATAAGTAATTAACTTCTTTTAATCTATAACTAAAGTCTGAGTCCTGAAGACCTTCCTCTGGAGC